TTATAAGCTACCCTACACGAAGAACTCCAGACCAATTAGCGGAATCAATCAGTCGCAAACTAATGCTAACAAGGTAAGCAGGATCAAAATTGAGTCCACGCAGGGAGAATTTTCTGCTACGATAGAATGCCTGGTGTTGAAAGCGATCACGGAGGCGTTACCACAAAGAAGAATCAATGTGAGGAAACTGCACATTCCGAAAAACGTACAGTTAGCTGATCCAAATTTTGATGAACCCAGTAACATTGACTTACTTATCGGCGGCGGGTTATATTGGAAGATCCTTACAGGTGCGACCAAAAATCGGTTGGAAGGACAACCAGCATTGCAAAACACTAAACTAGGATGGATCATCGGTGGAGAGGTGCACGACATGCTTGACAACTCTTCGAACATAAGCTTGGCAGTCTCCAACGATATGCTAAGTAAACAAGTAGAAAGATTCTGGACTCAGGAGAGCATACCAGAAGATCGGAAGTACACAGCAGAAGAAGAGGAATGCGAGAGGTACTTCACGGATACAGTGAAGAGGAACCCAGACGGAAGATTTCTAGTGCGATTGCCTATGCGGTCAGAGGTAATCCTGGGAAACAGCAGGGCAGCAGCGCTCAGGCGACTTCTTAGTATGGAGCGACGCTTCTTAAAACATCCAGCACTGAAATTGGAATATACAAGGTTCATGGATGATTACAAGGATCAAGGTCACATGACTCACATGTCCTCGATAGTCGAGGAGAACGACCACGGGGAACCGGTAGGATACTTTCTGCCACATCAGGCGGTGATACGACCAGAGAGTGAGACGACGAAACTAAGAGTGGTTTTCGACGCGTCTGCTAAGACGACGTACGGCACTACGCTTAACGACAAACTTTTGGCTGGACCAAATTTGCAACGAGCACTGATCGACATCATTCTAAGATTCAGGATGCATGAGTACGTACTGACGGCAGATGTAGCCATGATGTTCAGACAGATTTTGGTGGACAAGAAGGATCGAATTTACCAGCGAATACTATGGAGAAGAAGCCCCGAAGAGCAAGTTCAAACCTTCGAGTTGAATACCGTAACGTATGGCACAGCCTGTGCCCCATACTTGGCACTGAAGTGTCTTAGGCAGCTCGCCGAAGAGGAGGGTATGGACCTACCGCTGGCAGCAAGAGCTTTGAGAGAAGACTGCTATATGGACGATATGCTCTCAGGGTGTGACTCATTGACAACTGCTATCGAGCTACAAAGGCAACTATGTGATTTACTTAAGAGAGGTCAATTTCACTTGCGCAAGTGGCGCACTAACGAGCCACGGGTTCTACAACATCTTGAGGAAGGATGCAAAACGGAAAAGATGCTTGTGCTTAACAAGGAAGAAGCTTTGAAGACGCTGGGCCTCTATTGGAACGCTACATTGGACTGTCTGCAATATCACGTTAAGGAGGATACCACAGTAGAGACGAAGAGGGGTATATTATCGAGACTCGCGCAAGTATTCGACCCCTTAGGACTCATCGCACCATTACTTGTGAGAGGCAAGCTAATCATGCGACGTTTATGGGAACTCGACCTTGGATGGGACCAGGTCATTCCAGAAGAACTCAAGACAGCCTGGGAGACTTATTGTGCCGATCTACGAGAGATAAATGAGTTGCAGGTTCCCAGAAGAGTAGTATACGGGAACAATTCAAAGTTCGATATCTTCGGGTTTGGAGATGCGTCCGAACGAGCGTTCGGAGCTTGTTTATACGCCGTGAGCACGGATGACGAAGGAAGCGTGCATTCCTGTCTCATCATGGCCAAGACGAAAGTCGCCCCGATAAAACGGATCACCTTGCCCAGATTGGAGCTCGAAGCAGCACTCTTGCTCGCACGGTTATCTAGCGCAGTAAGGGGAGCTTATGCGGACAGGGTCAATGACGTAAAACTTTGGAGCGATAGTACCATCGTTCTAGGCTGGTTAAAACGTTCACCTAACGAACTTAAAACTTTTGTAGCGAACCGAATAGCGAGGTTTCAGGAGCTGACCAACGAGGGATCATGGCATCATGTGTCAACAGAAGAAAACCCGGCAGACTTGTTATCGAGAGGTGTCCAGGCGAGTAAGCTGAAGGACAGTCAACTTTGGTGGAACGGACCTTGCTGGATTGCAGAAGGACGACCGAGGCCAACATATGTGAAAGAAGCTGAGCCTGAACTACCAGATCTAAAGGATGCGACCATAACGCTGATGGTAGCAAATGAATACGACATATTGAGAAGATATCGGGAGTACGATAAGCTCTTGAGGATAGTCACTTACTGCAAGCGATTTAGAAACAATACAACAGGAAGCAAAAAATTCGGACCCGTCGGAACAGAAGAGTTGCAGATGGCCGAACCAGTCGTGATAAAATTGGTACAAGCCGAGGCATTTCAACAGGAGATTCGCGATCTAAGTCAGGGTCGTGAGTTAAATAGAAAAAGCGTGTTAAGAGCTTTAAACCCTTTCTTAGATAAGGAAGGGCTACTTAGAGTTGGAGGAAGATTGCGGCATGCAGAGATACCAATTGCTAGCAGACACCCGCTGGTCTTACCGGCCAAACACTACATCACGAATTTGATAATGCAGGACGTGCACACCAAGAGATGTCACTGCCCTGCGGAGCAGCTTCTCAGTCTTGTGAGACAACGCTATTGGCCAGTCAGCGGACGAAGGGAGGCTCGACGAGTTGTTAAACGCTGTATTAGTTGTTCCAGGTATCGACCCACTACTTTAGCCGGAAAGATGGGTGATTTACCAGAGGAAAGAGTGACGAGTTACTCTTTCCTCTGGACGCGCCTTTCTCAAAACCGGCGTGGATTACGCGGGACCGCTCCAAGTAAAGGAGAGTCATCGCAGGGGACGGATTCACATCTCCAAGGGATACGTAGCAGTTTTTACTTGCCTCAGCACGAGAGCGACACATTTGGAACTTGTGTCTGATTTGACCACGGAGGCTTTCTTAGCCGCATTAAGTCGCTTCACAGCCAGGAGAGGAATTTGCTCTCATCTGTTTTCCGATAACGGAACCAACTTCGTGGGAGCCGCCCGCGAGTTGAAAGAAGTATATGCCCTTCTTGAAAGGGAGCAAAGGGTGATCGAGGGCAATCTCGCTCTTCAACGGATTACTTGGCACTTTATCCCACCTCGGGCCCCGCATTTCGGCGGTTCATGGGAGGCGGCGGTCAAACTAATGAAGAGACATCTCTTCACCATTACGAAGGGAAGGATCTTCACCTTCGAGGAATACAGTACGCTCCTCGCCGAAGTGGAAGCTGTCTTGAACTCAAGGCCGCTCACGCCAGTTTCAAGCGACCCTTCGGATTTGGCAGTCTTAACACCGGCGCATTTTTTAATAGGGGATTCGCTCCTACAGCCGGTGCAGTACAATTATTTGGACACTCCAGAGGGCCGTTTGTTAAGATGGCAATCCCTACAAAGACTACGACAGCAGTTCTGGCAGCGCTGGCGTGTGGAATATCTACAGGAGCTGCAGCGGAGAAACAAATGGCAAACCAAGGACGAGAATGTGCAGATCGGAGCCTTGGTACTCCTGAAGGAAGATCATCTTCCATCGCTTCAATGGGCACTAGGTCGCGTGAGTGCTTTACATCCTGGGCCGGACGGCATTGTACGAGTCGTATCGGTTAAAACTCAACATGGAGAGTTTAAGCGCATTGTGAGAAAACTGTGTCCTTTACCATTAGATTAGAAGGAGGTTACAAGTCAAGCGTTTGATTGATAAGTTAAATAAGTAAAGTTGTATCCAAAGAGTTTATCGACGTTCTGAGATTTTAGCACTAACAGTGCCAGTTATTTTTTTGCGTTTATCGGTGTTCATTTATTTTAGTTACAAGTATCTTTA